TTATTTTGGTCGCGAAGAGAAGCGTCGGAGCGGCCAACAGGTTGATGATCGCCGTCCCGTCGTCTTCTTTCTTCCTCCAGCTTGGGGAAGCCAGCATGTTCACCCATCTTCGTTTTCTTCCAAGGCATGCGTAACAATATATATATATATATATATATATATATATATATATATATATATATATATATATATATATATATATATATATATATATATATATATATATCTGCTGCTTCTGTCATGGTTTCCAGAGTCTTGCAGTTACTCTCCCGTGAGAAGAGCGCCAGCTTACTGCTGCAGTTCACCATGAATTGCTCGGCTACAACCAAGTCACGGACAGAATCGAAATTTCTCTCTATCTGAGACATTTCTATCCACCTATCAAAGAAACTTTGGAGTCTTGTGGCATACTGTCTTTCAGTTCGGCTGTCTTCGGGCTTGCTCTTCCGGAATTTCTCACGGTAGACATCAGCCGTGAAGTGAAAACGCTGGAGCAGCTCTAATTTCACTTTGTTGTATGACAGGGAATGCTCCGTTGACAATCGTCCAAATACTTTCAGAGCCTCTCCACTAATGCCCAAACTAAGAGCAGTGGCCAACTTTTCCCGTGACCAATCTGGACCTGTCGGCACTCTCTCGAACCTGTTCAGGTAGGCGTCGAGGTCGTCTCTTTGCTCGTTGAAAATTGGTATAAAGTTGTGGGGGTTCACTACCGCAGACGCACTCCTTTGGATGCCCGTGTCAGCCACTGTAGGCTCACCGACAGCGGCCTCAGCTTCTCTCAGGCGCAGTTGCAGTGTCCTTTATTCTATCTCTAAGTGTCGCTAACTTGCTTCTCGGCTTTGGCTGTCCGTTTGAGATACTCGAAGACGTAGCTGTAAACTTCGGCCTTCCTGCTCCAACTGTTCTTTCTTCGCGTCTCTCTCCGTGGCTCGTTCATCGCGCTCACGCGCTTCTCGTGCGTCAAACCATGGGTGCGGCTCTGCTTCTTTCAACCACATGCGCTGTGCCAGCGTCGTACACTCTCGCGAGCCAATTTTCCTTTTTTCGTCATCATTAGGCAAATCTACTGTGGTGTCGAACGCTCACGTCCTGTCGAATCGGACGCCAATTTGTTACAGGTTTGGTGAACGAAGCCCGCCGGGTCAGCTGTGAAACGTTACTCTCGGACAAGAAAACGAAGTGAGCGTCTGATTTGCATAGAAAAAACTAGATTTGTACAAACAAAAAAACTCGAAAAGAGCATGATAGAATCAACAAAAGGTAAACTGACAAGCACGACCAGACAGAATATCGACGCAGTTCTCGTTCATGAGGGGAATCCTCTACTAGTGTAAACGGTCTTTCGTGTACAGTCAGTAACGTTCTTGTGTTAGAGTGCGTGGATGCGCAAAGAGACAGACACGGCTCACCAGCGGTTCACGCCCATGAACAGTCCGGTAAGGAAGCCTCCGTGGTGAAAGTACACAAGCTCGGGCCCATAGCCCAACGGCTCACTCCCTTTCCCGGTAGACGACCTCATCTGCGGCGCCGTCTTCTGCTTGAACATCAGAACCAGGTCGTGCGAGCAACTCGCCAATAGACTCGGTGCTTAAGTGGTCACCAGGACCCCGTGATTGTCGTAGCTGGCTAGGTGGATGTCTTGAAGCCTGGGTACCCGCACTCGTTAAGCTCACACGCCGCACCCTAGCCACGTTGGTTGGTTGGTTGTTCCTCAGAGTCCTGGCGCAACTCTCCAAGGGGAATCGGCCATGAAACGAACGGTACCTACTTTCTGAGATCAAATTGTTTTACCAGCAGGGATTTTTATAAAGGGATGTTTAAACAATGAACAGATTGGTAAACGGTCGATTAGAAATAGAAAAAAATAGAGGTAATAAAAAGGAAACCCAATAAGCTGATAATGTTTGAAATAAAGTGTATTTATGACCCAGCTTAACATCCTATTAGTTTTGATGCCTTTAAAAATCGCATACGGCTTCGCAAACGTGCCTGAGGCTGAATACTTTGTCAGTTGCTCCAAAGGAAAGGACCACCGTAAAGAATCAACTTAAAGCTAACCTACGGAGAGGTTCTTCTAACTGTCCTTTTTTTTATTCGTAAATAACCCACATGTTAAGACAAAATGATGCAAATATTCACTCACATTTCAGTGGAGGCATAGAGGAAACTGTGCCAGACCAGACCTGTGTAAATATATTTTAAGAGAGGGGGGGGGGGCTCGGCATCGTAGTCTCGTAATTGATATCTCCGCCATTCTAGAGGAGCCCCATCAATTTTTCCAGGGGTATTTAAGATGAGAAAACAGAGAGAGAAATAAATAAAAGGAAGAGACAGTGAGCGTAACCTGGAAGAACTGGATTTCTCCCTGTCCAGGGGGGGGGGGGGAAGGGCCGGAAAGAGGATGAGAAAAATCAGATGTATACTTAAGATAGTACTTAAGATGAGAAAAATCAGAAACCCGAACGAGCAGGTAGCGGTCGGCAGGCCACCGTGCGTAGAGGTTCTTAAAGGAAAAAATGGCATGATATCCTGGGGGTGAATGATGGAGAGGGGGGCGAAGCATCCATCTGTCCATTCGTTCTTGCTTCCATTCGTCCATGCGTCTGTCTGTGTGACCATCTGTGCGTGCGTCTGTTTGTGCGTCCTCACGTCCATCCGTGCATACATCCCTGTGCTCATTCCTGCATCCGCCCCTGCGTCCGTCCATGCGTACATCCGTCCGTGCAGTCATCCGTGCGTCCGTCCATGCATCTGTCTGTGTGTCCGTTTGTACATCTAGTAAACACTCCAAGTACTACCATCTCGCATCTTTTCATCATATATTCAGCATATAGAAGCACCGCCATCCAGCGGACATTCCAAGGACTAAACGAGAGGGGGTACACGCACACTTTCTTACGGCTTGCACTTCTTGTCTACTTCAACCACCTCGAGTTTATGGTATACACTAGTTCACTGTATTCATGGCCGAGCGAGTATAATCTAGCAACCTTTTCTTGTCAAATAGTGTTCAATGTACATGCCAATGGCTGCTAATTGGGAAAGAGAGACAGGATAATTTGGTTTTTAATTAACGCGCACGCTGTGAATTTTTATTGTTTAACAACGCACAGGAGAATTCTCCCACCAGCACCACCTTGCAGGTCAAAGCGTGAGACTGCTTACGTACTGCGACTACGACGAGAGATGAACGGATGCCGCTTTAAGGAGGTTCGCCCCTAAAAAAGGAAGGTATGACCGCGGTGCTGTTACTGCCTCTCTCAGTGTAGAACACCTCCACTGAAATAGTTTTGGCGAGTTAAGCTTTCAACCGGAATGGTGGCATGTTTTTTTCGCTCCTGCTTTCCGTGTTGAAAAAACGTGCACCATGAGAATGGTGGATTCTACTATCCACCATTTTGGTGGATTATGGTGCTGGAAATGTTGGTGGTACGTTGTGTATGGTGGCGTATGGTGGAGCGCATGTTGTGCTCTAGCCGATAATGCTGGAGTGCGAAGCAGCGTGAGAACCATCGTGATGAGCTGCCACTAAAGGAATAATAAAAATAATTGTCTGAAAAACAACGTTGAAAGCGCGCGTGAAAAAAAAAAAAGGTGTGACTGCGCGGATTCGAATTTACCAACTTCGGATTTCCAGCTGACCACACTAACTATTGTGCCATGCCGACAGATGGCAACTTCGGTGTTAAAGAAGTGGTCAACTCACAAACTCACTGTTTAACTTTACTTTTGTTTGTCGCTTACTCGATTAGATGGGATCTGCACCTGCTACTAAAATTCGCACATTTGATAAACACAAAGAACTGCTGCCTGTAACGATTGCCACTGCGATATTGGCAACAGCGCTTTGTTTTTGTTACAATTTACAACCGCAAGAAAGAAACAACTCAGTGCAATGGAGCAGGTAGAGTTTATCGGCGGCTACTGCCAAGTTTAATATCCGTTTCTTGCTTCTTCCAAATGGCGACTATCTATTCAGGCTTTGTGATGCTTTTCAAATGTGATGCTTTTGTGATGCTTTGTGATGATATTTCAAACCGCTGCTGCTGGTTTGAAATATATTTCATCCACAGCCTCGTCGATACGGCGTCTCTCTTCCGTAACAATATCATCGCGCACAGCTACATCCAGCGTCATGCTCCGCCGTGGTGGTCTAGTGGCTAAGGTACTCGGCTGCTGACCCGCAGGTCGCGGGATCAAGTCCCGGCTGTGGCGGCTGCATTTGCGATGGAGGCGGAAATGTTGTAGGCCCTTGTACTCAGATTTGGGTGCACGTTAAAGAACCCCAGGTGGTCAAAATTTCCGGAGCCCTCCACTACGGCGTCTCTCATAATCATATGGTGGTTTTTGGACGTTAAACCCCACATATCAATCAATCAACCTCAGAATCACAATGTGATTGTGAAAGACGCCGCAGCAGAGAGCTCTGGAAATGTTTACCACCCAGTTTTGTTCAACGTTCACGAACATAACACAGTGGACGGGCATCTAGCGTTTCGCCTCCACTGTTTAACGTGACCGTGAACAAGGTAACTTTGCTTATAAATGGTGTTTGCTGTCGTATGGAGTAGCACGGTCCTGAAAGACGTCCTTATTTATGCGAAGACTATCGCATCACATCAGTGGGTTCCAGGAATCTGGGCGTAAATCGTCCAATTCGGCATAGACGGGGTGAAGCGGCTGATTTAAAACTCACCTGAGGCAAGTCGGCCTTCTTTCAGATGACATCAAAATGAAAATACAAGGCAGGTAAGTCAAGAGGCTCCTCAGTGGCGCAGTTGCGCCTATGAACGGATGCTTGAGGAGCAGGTCAAAAACACCGAAAAATGCTGTGCATTATCTTAGCATAATAAGAAAGCTTGCAGTGGAGCTGTAAGTGAATGCACGCCGGGGAAGGCCGACAAATTGTTCCCAACAATAATATTTGCAATATTGCGAACCAATAGCCTACTTGGTACTCCATCTTTTGAAGAAATTTTTATTTTCATTTCGCACAGGTAGAAACAATAGGCGACGCATATATGGTTGTCTCTGGCTTGCCTGTCAGAAATGGCATCATGAATGCACGTGAGATTGCCCGGATGTCACTTGCGCTCCTCAAGCAGGTGCTTTCATTCAAGATTCGGCATCGACCTGGAGAGCAGCTGAACCTACGCATTGGAATTCATACTGGTATGTGCTCAATTTCATTCATCACTCGATAAAAAGTACTTTGTCGAATAATATATTGGCCTCACAAGGTCGTAGTAGGTGATGCTATGATTTCTTGCCATCGTCCAGTACAGTGCAAAATGTTATAGAGAGTTTGTTAATGGGCCTTTTCCTAGTCTGAACAGCACCTGAAGTGGAGACCACCAAAATCAAAACTGGTGGGTCTCGGACTCCGAAATCGCCCTCCGCATGCCGGTAGGAACTCTCTGAGGCCTGCATTCGCGCTTCTCATTGGGGAAAACATTTGCATGTTTGCGGCACCAGATGTCGCTTGGTCCACACGTGTCGTCACATTTTGGCCACCAAAAATTATGGCGTGTGTCGTACGCGTACCTCCTCGAAGCCGGCGTGCATGCACGGACTACCTACCCGAAAAAGGCCCATTTGGGCCCAAGACATTAGAGAGTTTGAGAATGGGAGTTCCAAGGAGCTTGGGGACCCAAGAAGTTTTCGACACGTCAGGGCGCATGCGCAGAACTCAAGGTAATCTTGGACTCTTGCGTTCGTGCTGATCCATGGCCCAAAACCTTTTGTTTCAGCAATATCAAAGCTATGGGGTGTGAGAAAGCCACACAATCACGCAGAAAAAACATAATCCCAGATATATTAAGTACCTTAAAATTGACCGGGTTGACTAAAATTGGCGTTTGTTAGGTGTATGTAACGCCACATATTATGTGATACGTTTATCGTTCGCATTTAGTTGGTACGCATGAAGATATTGTTTTCTCTTACACACGGTAGCTGCGTTTTCATGAAGAAGCGACCGCCCGCTTCAATCCAAACTTGCTCTTGCTACACGCCAACTGCGCTGTCAGCAACAAATTAATGGGGAAATCCGCCATGGATCGGTTTCTTCTTACTCTGAGGATAAAACGTCAGGTACGTGCTGTCGTTATTACTTAGCCGCACGTAGTAAGACTAACGCGCTGAGGCAGGGCAGGCGCTGCGTCGCCAGACCAAGAACGCTGCATCTTCAAACATCGTACATGCAACATGGCACAGCGTTTCGTGCGCGTCGAATCCTCTTTCGATGGAAACAAAAAAAAGAGAGAAAAGAAGCATTGCAGCGGGAGACACGAAGCCACACGTCGACGGGGAAGCAGTTATACGAGAGCCACGATAAGCGTCGGGGAGAAACGGGCACAAAGTGAAGTGATCCGCCAGCATGAGTGCCTACTGATTTTCAGCATAGGAACAAATCCCCGCTTGAAGTTCCTAGCGTAACTGTGTTTCACAGTTTTACCATATTTTCAAGTTAATAAACCAGCCTTATCTGTAATGAGTGTATTAGAATATTCAGCGAGCAGATGCATTGAAGGAGGTGAGCAGACGACATGGCGCGAATGAATACATTTGGAGAAGCTAATCGCCCTTTCTATTGGCTTAGGGGCCCTGCAGCTTCCGCAAGTGCTGAAGGGTGAGGCGCCAAGGCGTCTTGGATCGCTAGCGAGACGAAGCAGACGCAGCGCGAGCCATGGCGCCGTATGACCCGCGTCTCGCATAACTTCGAATTTGGCCACGGGTGGCTGAATTCGAAGCTCCCCATGCGTTTGACCCAATGCCACCTTCGTTTGACCCAGTTCTCAAACTTTTCTGATTCTGCAAGCTGAATAGCAACTTACACAACGAAGCTTGGAGACCCAGTGTTTTGGACACGAAGCTTGTAGTCGCAGTGTTTTCGGCTCCCAAGTCTCAAACTGTCTACCTAAGCTGCGTTGCGTAGGTTGCTTTTGCGTTCGGAGGATCAGCAGAGTTTAAGAATGGGGCCAAACACAGGTGGGTTGGCTCAAACGCACGGGGTGGCGCACGTGAAAATTATGCAAACGTGGTCCACATTGTATCGTTCTACGCGTTGCGTCTGCTCGTCTCACTCGCAACACTACACTTAAAGACCCACGACAACTTTCTGTGGCAGCACAGCCAAAGCTACGAAGCCCAAGCACGCCCATTTTTTTCTACTCTTCTGCATATATTCTACCAACGCTAACTTTTGTATACTGCGTAGGATAAAGGAAAATGTAAGAAGAAAAGATATAAATATTATGTTCACGTTTGTTGGCATTCTAATTGCCAGATTTCGACGTGCCGGATTTTCGTTCTTTGCTGTTTCTAGTTTTCTTGTTTTCCGTGTCACATCAACTTGTTCCTTCGCAGTAAACAACGATGGCCCCACTCAGTTGCAGCAAGTTCACATCGAGTTGTGAGTGAGCATGTGGGTGTGTTCGCTAGGTGATCTTTGTACACCAAAAAAATTGCCCACAGCTTCCCTCGGGGGAATACTGAGGAGGATGCGGAGCATATAATTGGTTAACGGGGTGTAAGTGCGACTTACTTGGGTCGCTGGCTAAATTGGTTAACGTGGTTGTAGGAGGGGTGTTAAATGAGTGAACACGTACGACACGTATGCGAAAGGGCGGTGTTTATTTATTGCGACGAACTTTGAGCACGATGGCTTTTTGGTCGGTAAAGTGAAGAGTGAGTGGATCGGGTTGCGACCTCGGACGTCGACGCGCCGTACAAACCAACCGACGAGCGGCAACTGAGCGAGCGAGCACCAACCTTGAGTATATATACAGCGCGACGGCGCATGCACTGTCAGCTGTCGAATGTTCGAGAAGGGGGAGAAGCGCAACGGCGCATGCGCGGGCGTCAGCTGCTGATGTTTTCGAAGCGCGACGGCGCATGCGCGCGCGTCAGCTGCCGGCACGCGGTGTGTAGAGGAGGAAGGGTGCACAGATGGTGGAGGAGTGAAGCGCGCGCGGTGTGTAGAGGAGGAAGGGATGCACAGATGGTGGAAGAAGGAGGAGGAAGCTTGCGGACGGCGCCGCACTACAAGCCTCGAGTATTAGATGCTCCGCATCTAAAAGGGAGAAACAGAGACAGAGGTGCGTCATGCAATGTTAGATGCTAAGCAGCTCTTTGACTAGCCTGTATAGCGCTGTCCCGTGTGTCCGCACAAAGGCGCCGCAACGCATCCCCTATGCCGCAGTTGTTGGAACGGTGGCAAGTAGGTCACTCAAATCGCAGCTTTGCGTTGACGTCACTCTCTCTCTCACCCGAAGCAGCTGCCAGATCCTCCGCCGCCCCGCCGCGGTGGTATAGTGGCTAAGGTACTCGGCTGCTGACCCGCAGGTCGCGGGCTCAAATCCCGGCTGTGGCGGCTGCATTTCCGATGGAGGCGGAAATGTTGTAGGCCCGTGTGCTCAGATTTGTGTGCACGTTAAAGAACCCCAGTGGGTCGAAATTTCTGGAGCCCTCCACTACGGCGTCTCTCATAATCATATGGTGGTTTTGGGACGTTAAACTCCACATATCAATCAATCAATCAGATCCTCCGCCCACTCGCAACGCACTTCTCCCTCGCTTCACCCTCTCCACCGCCCGCAACGTTCGACCGCACGTCGAGTGGAAACACTCTTTCGGCTCCTCGTTTATCTGTGATGAAACTTACACGAAACACAACCCGCCTTCCGTGTCTTTGCGTTTCCAAGAAAAGTTTACTCAAATAAAGGCGACACCGAGTTTCGCTTCAAACCGTTCTTCGAGCACACGCGTCGATGCCTGTTTCAGCTGGGTCAGTGGCGTCTGCCCCGCTGCTTCTTTCCATCCCACCCTCAGGGGAGATGGTCCATGTATATATATTACCGAGAAAACAGACGTCTGCAAGTGATACTATGAGCGAAAGGGGTACTCCAATCGCTATAACCACCTTGAAAGTGGCACCGGTGGCCTGCCAGTCTTTAGCAGGACCAGATGCCTGAAAGCACAAGTGCCACTGGAAACTGTACATAAAAACAATGATTCTTTTCCTAAATTGTTGCATACGTGGTCAATATTCCGGCTGCCTGATATTGTTGATACGATTACTGTGAAAATCGCGTACTGTTACACCGCACCCGTCGGCGTCTACGGAGAGAGTAGTTCTCGGCCCTTTGTGATGACAGCGAGCTACGAAGATAAATTCCAAAGATTCGCTCAGCATCACACGCGTTCATTTATATTAAGCTGTTCACTGTGCAACAAGAACTTTCTTGGCCAAGCAAAGAGTTTGTTTTATCCACTTGGGATTTACGAACGATAGACGCCAGCTTATGACCGGTCGTGGCAAAAATTTCTGCTACCCGTCGATGCCTTCGCTTCCTCTAAAAGATAACGTGAGCCTCTCTAGAACGTTCTTGCTTTACCACAAAAAGAAAAAAAAACAATGCCGACCCAGTATGCACTAAAATTTAGGAAATAGTTTTTGGCTTTTGCGTTGGTTTTGCAATCGCTCAGTTCCTGCTGGGCCATGCCTTTTCAAATGCCAAGCATTTCTTATCGAACTTCCGCGACATTGAGTGCATCTATCTATCTATCTATCTATCTATCTATCTATCTATCTATCTATCTATCTATCTATCTATCTATCTATCTATCTATCTATCTATCTATCTATCTATCTATCTAATCTATCTATCTATCTATCTATCTATCTATCTATCTATCTATCTATCTATCTATCTATCTATCTATCTATCTATCTATCTATCTATCTATCTATCTATCTATCTATCTATCTATCTATCTATCTATCTATCTATCAGTCTATCTATCTATCTATCTATCCATCTATCTATCTATCTCTATCTATCCGCCTAGGAAATTTATCTCTCCTGTCCGTTTCGATACTGGTATCAATACCAAAATTGGCATGGCATAACATGATTGTATGACTAGCATAAGGGACTAGTCATAACATAAAAATCATGATATGTATGTGATGAATGTTGTGATTTACATTTTCACGGTCTTGCTGGTCTTGCGGTGATTCCGTTCACATGACATGTTGCACAACCGGTATGGTATGACATGACTGCATGGTCAACACAAGCGACAGACCCTAACATGAAAATCATGATATGCGTGTCATGTAAAAACATAACATGCCACACTCATGATACGCTCTCCACTGTTTCACT